CCTGGAAAAAAGGCTGGACCAAATATGGATTGAAAATCAGAAATTGAAGGTGAACATACCAAGATTTAAGAAGAAGCTCAACGCGATGGAGAAAATGAATGGAAGTGGGGGCAAGGAGTACCAACCCATGAGAGACCAACCCATGAAGAACTATCGTTCGTATGCGAAAATACTTACAGGCAAAGGTACTCAGCAACCGAAGAAAGGAAACGAACTAATGGGCCTTCAAAAGATTTGGGTAGCAACAAAAGGAGCAGACATGGAAGGAGAAGAAATTCAATCCGAGGAGAGCAGATTGGGAGTGGCTAGAAAGGTGCTATGTGGGAACTCTAAGATCAATGGAATTAGCACCAATAATCCAAGAAAGGCTATACATGGAAGGAATGTTCTCCATTAAAACAAGATCAATGGGAGGCAAGCTTGTATTATTAGACAGTGAAGACAAAGAGGAACTGAAGGAGATTGTAGAGAATGCTAAAGAATGGTTAAACCAATGGTTTGTTGAAGTTAAACCATGAAATCCTACTATGGTAGCAATTGAAAGATTGGTGTGGCTCAAGTGCTTTGGTGTTCCATTGCATGTATGGGGTTTGGAGTTTTTGCATCCATTGCAAGTGTGTGGGGGAAGTTTATATCTTTGGATGACAATACTAGATTGAAAAAGAGATTTGATGTTGCTAGAGTCTCGATCTCTACATCAGAAAAGAATATTATTTCTGAAGGCCTTAATTATAAGATTAATGATCATCTTTATTGCATCCAGCGCATGGAGGAAGAATTAAGTGTTGGGGGCCTTTCATTAAAATCAGAGGATGTTCCGAAATCCCAATATTTTTTTGATGAAGTAAAGGACGAATCAAGGGATTTAGATTGGGTGAAGGAAAGCATTCTCGGGTCCAACAGCCATGGCTTCGAATGTGAAAGAGAAGGACTAACTGAGCCTAGTGAAGAAGAAGATGATGACATGGCTTATAACCATTGGCAGGTTGGTGGTCAAAAGGAAGGATTTTTCACATTGAATGGCAACAAAGAAGAAAAGTCAGCAAATAGCCTTGCGAATGGAGAATGGGGTACAATAGACAAACAAAAGGAAAAGAGTGTGCAGGAAGAATTTAATGAAGCTATTGGAGATTGTGTAAAGGTGTCAAAAATTGGAAACCACAGCAACATTGAAAAATGTGATTAATAGTTGGAGATCCAAAGTCATGGCAACATTGAAAAAGTTGTCCAATTGCTGGACAAACACAGACTCATAAGGGCTAATTTTGTTGATGAGAAGATAATCCATGTTTCAAATGGACTAGAGAAATTGGATCGGGCCCAAGAAACGAAGAGGGTTAATTTAAGAGAAGTGGACAAAGGGGATTGGGATGAAGCCCAAACCAAATTGGAGGCTTCTTGAAAGAGTGAAGTAGATTAGAGTACCATGTGAGAAGTAAGTAAGGAAAATAGAGGCAGAAGCAAGAACAGTTCAGATTAGATATTGTCAGTCAACTCTGAAAAAATAACCACATAAAAGAGCTCGCAAGTGGGAGAGTCAACTCAGCAGATGCAATCCAAGGAACAAGAAGCAGAATCTACAGAGGAGAAAGCCGAAGTAGAACCTGCAAAGGAGAAAGCCGAAGCAGAACCTGCAAAGGAGAAAGCCGAAGCAGAACCTGCAAAACAAAAAGCCGATGCAGAAGAATAAGGTGATTCATTCTAAGAAGGTGTGGATAGCGATTTAGGTAGAATTGAGGAATGGATGCGAATGGGTGAAAGGAAGAACTTGAGAAAAAGAAATGGTAAAAAGAAGAAAGTTAGATCTTGCATGTCTGCATATTAGATTTTTCCTATGGTAGCGAACACAGACACATTGACGGTGAAAGGAGGCAGAGTCTGCTCGAAGAAAATTCTAAGGGAGAAATTGCCAACTTTTATCCCAGACCCATTGAACCCAATTGCAAGTGGGTCAATTTCAAATTATGGTATTTTGAATTGCAATAGAGGAAGAAACAGAAAAATTAAAAAAGCTTTGTTGAAGATGAGATTTGGAAGTTTGCAAAGGTAGTGGGCATCGCAGCAAAGGGTAATGAAGAGGAGGTTGTAACGAGGATTGCATAACTAGAGAAAAGGGATAAAGAAGCTAGAAATCAGCTACTGCAAAAGGGAAACACAATAGGAAAAAAGGTTAGTAATCTAGCTCCATGAATATACTATCATATGATACAAGAGGATTAGGAGGGAAAGGAAAGAAACGAGAAATTAGACAGCTAGTTAGCAGGGAGAAGGTGAATTTTTGGCAATACAAGAATCAAAGATATAGGTGATTGATAGACAATTGAGTAGATCATTATAAGATTTGAAGGATTTTGATTTTGTGGCAAAACCATCTAATGGGCAATTAGGGGGTCTAATATGCATATGGAATAAAGAAATGCTTAGTATGAGTAGAGTGATAGAAGGTACAAATTTTGTAGGAGTTTTTGGTTTTTGGGGAGTAAATAAAACTATAGTATACATTGTGAATGTGTATGCCCCTTGTGAAGCAGTTGGAAAAAGAAAGTTATGCCAGGAGTTGTAAATGATGATTAATGAAAATAGAGGAAACTGGCATTTCTTAGGGGACTTTAATGCTACAGGGAATCAGTATGAAAGAGCAGGTAGCAGCCGTCAAACAAGCATAATGAGGCAATTTGAGGAATTTATCAAGGAAGCAAGACTAGTTGATATCCCATTATTGGGGAGAAAATTCACATAGTACCACCCTAATGGTTGTTCCATGAGCATACTCGACCGATTTTTGTTATCTGAAGAGTGGATAATGAGATGGCCAGATATGAAGCAGTGGGACCTTAATAGATCCTTATCTGATCATTGCCCTATGCTGTTGAAATATGAGAAGATCAACTGAGGACTTAAGCCTTTAAAATGCTTTAATGTATAGCTAGGTTAGAAGAGCTTCAGGAAGTTAGTGGTGGATACATGGAAAGATAACAAGATTGCAAGCTAGAAGGGATACCAATTGAAAGAGAAATTGAAGATGGTGAAAGCTAAAGTAAAAGAATGGAGAAGGAAGGAAATGTCCCACATTGATGTGAAG